CTGAGCAGAAGTAGAAGCTGGTGCGTGTTAAATCTTCAAAATTAAAGGTAAAATGGTTTACCTTATAAACGCTGACTAGAGAAGACAAGGTTATTTGGATCACATTAAATCAAATTCACATATTTTTTTTTTCTTAAGGAAAAATCTTGGGTGTGTAAAAGATTGTGTGTGTGTGTGTGTGTGTGTGTGTGTGTGTGTGTGTGTTTACCAAAGTCATCCTGGCAATCACACATCCTGGTAAGGTAATGTTCTTACCTCTTTCATCTTTGAGTCTAGGCCATTTACCAGAACTTTTCTGGCACTCAAAGTGAGGGAATGAAGTTTTCTGGGTTGGAAGTATATTTGGGAGCATGTAAGCGTCTTTTCAGTGTCACCTGATAATTCCAAGTCTGGCTATTTGCAACACACACACTTCCCACTGCCGTGCTTTGCTTTCCTCCACTCTCGTTGCCTTTCACATTTTGTTTTCCTTCTGAACCTACCAGGTAAAGCTTATGGGAAACAGAATCTGGGAAACCGTTTTTATTCTATCGTCAAAGGGTGATATAGTGAGATCTTGAACCCTAACCAGCAGAAGTTGAAGGATGGAAAAACGTTCAGCCTTTTAAGTTATACCGCCCAAGCCGTACATTGGAGTTTGAGCTTCGGTCCAACATAAACAGGCAGGAAGGGAGTAGCACAGAAGCCTGCAGCCCTTCATCAGAGTCTGCGATCTGAAGGGGGTGTTAATATGGCAAGTGCATACACCTTGAAAAAGCAGTTTGACTGTACCCAGGCCAACTGACACTGCAAAGCGTTTGCTAGAGACCGGACCTGTCCTACTTTTTTTTCAGATTGCTCATTTCCTCCACAGTGTGTTAAAGCAAGGCATAAATCAAATGGGGGCACTGGAGCAAATGAGGAGGAGTTAAGTAACTGGACGATTTTTTCCCTACTGTGACTATATTCTGCAGAATATGTATTTATATTTGCTCCATGCCCCTCCACTGTGTGTGTTATGTACATGTTAATATACATGTGTCGTATATGTGTACCTGTATGTAGAGGCCAGAGGAGTAGGTAGATGTGGGAGGTTTTTCTTGATTGCTCCCCATGTTCATTTTTGAGACAAGGTCTTGCACTGAACCCAAAGCTCATTATTCAGCCCTACTTCCAGGTCAGTGAGCTTAGGGGATCCACCTGTCTCTATTCTCCTCTCCAGTGCTCATGTTGCAGGGGAGAATCACATGTCTGGTACTTTACATTGAGATCTGAACTCAGGTATGCCCAACAGGTAGCTCTATTTATTTTTCAAAATAAGGTCTCACACAATCAGGTCAAGCCCATACTATGTAGCTGCAGATGATCTTGAACTTCTGATCCCCCTGCCTTTTCCTCTTAAGTGCTGTAACTGCAGGCACAGACATTTGTGCTCAGTTTTTCACTGGTGGTGTGGAGGGAATTCAGGGCTTTGTGCACAGCAGCTAGGTACTCCACCGAGTGACTTCACAAGGTACTTCTGCTGAATTTTTCATATGCATTCAGTTACCACCAGGTGAAGAGACAAACAGTATCAACTGGAATCGTCTTGTAAAGGACGACAACTCCAGAACTCCAGAAGGTGGGGTTTGAAAACAGAAGTCCCGGAATCATACAGGGAAAAAATTAAGTGGAGCACGTGAGGTTGCTCTGTAGGTGAGAGCTCTTGCCTTTCTTTGTTGCTTAACTCTTGCTTCATTCATTCAAGAATACTTATGGACATCTATTACACGAAACCCAATAAAGACAGTGAAGGTCCCTGGTCTCAGAGGGACAGCAATATACAAAGCCAATAGCAAGTAAGTAACCATCAGAGGTAATTATGTTCTGTGTGCTAATTAAAGGAGAGAGTGACTGGGTGGTTGCTTTAGATTGGGTGGCTGGGGAAGGGGATAACATTAAGTTGAGAGTTGATAGGCAAGAAGAGGCCTGTTTTTATCATATTCAAAGTGCAGAACATTCCAGGCAAAGGCACAACTTGTACTTCAATGTGTGTCTAGGAGTGTGGGGGACCCATGAGGAGCTTCCAAACATAGAAAACTGATAGTGACACTGGCCACTATTTCCCTCCGCCTCTCACACACACCATCTCTAATTCCTCTAAATGCAGCAAAGGGACGATTCGATATTTTAAAAAGAGCTGATTATTATGAAGACATAGCATCAGTTAATCAGCCTTAAAATCCTGGCTACCTTGTTGTAGTATCATTCTGTTTCTGGGACAAACACCATGACCAGAAACAACTTAGGAGAACAGGTTTATCTTAGCTTACAGGTCAGTACTGGAACTCAAGCAGGAACATGAAGCAGAAATGACAGAAAAAGCGGCTCCCTGGCTCTCTCAGGATCATGCTTAGCTCTAGCTTTCTTCTATAGAAAGCACTACTTGCCCAGGGAATTGTACCACCTACAGTGGGCTAGACCCTCCTATAACAATTAGAAATCAAGGTAATCCTTCACAGACATCTTGATAGGCCAATGCAATCCAGGCAGTTCCTCTCTCAGACGAATCTAGGCTATGTCAGATTGACCAAGCCAATGAGGATACTTTCTGTGAGAGAGATTTTAGGCTGTGTCTCTTCCTTGAGACAAGATTTTCAGAAGCAGTGGGGTATCTAAGGGAAGGTGTAGGTAGAAAAAGAAAGACAGAGAGGCAAACACAGTAAATATAATTACAAAGAAAGATTGATTCAACCGGAATTCATCTTACTTCAACATTGGAAACACTAATCCATTTTTTTTTTTTTTAACTCAGAGACTACAGGAAGAACAAGCAGGAAGGACAGGAACAAAGAGAGCTGTTAACATGGAAAAAAATCTTTTCAACCATTTCATTACCAAAAGGGCACAGACTTTTATGGCTGTGTGTGTGTGTGTGTGTGTGTGTGTGTGTGTGTGTGTGTGTGGCACTCCACAGGAAAGTAAGAATTTTATGTACTGACCAGCTTGTTTTGGGGTGTAAGAGTCACCCCTCATCAACTCCCCCATTGATGCCTCATTTTGTAGACTGTGCACATGTAGATTGTGGCTCCCATCCACAAGGCAGAAGAGGAAGACAGAAAAGAGGAGGGACAGGCAAGGCATGCAAACGGAACATTTTGATTTCTGCATGGTTTTGTTGAATCCAGGAGGCAAATACAAGGACAAACAAAACCACACTTTTCTAGAAGCCCTGTCAATCACCTACTGAATTTGCCAGTTACAAAGTTCCCTCCCAGGTTTCTTCCTAGGGATCCCAGGCAGAACCACACCTTTGGAGGCCAATTTTATGAAATAGAGAGAAACCACAATTTTCACTGTGAGCTATATATTTCTTTGGAATCTCCAGGCATTGTTTGTGGAGAAAAGACCTAGTAATAGACTTATTTGATGCAAAGACAGAATAAAACAAATAGTCACTAAGTTGGGTTTATGGTCTTTTCTTCCTGCTTTCCTCTGAAAAGAGGCAATTTAAGCAAATTATGTCATCACCTTTGAAACTTGTTCTTAAGGTCCTTAGCCTTTTAATAACCACAGGATTGTTTTTTGTTGTTGTTGTTGACAAGGCCCCATCATACACACAAGCACAGCTGAAAGCTGAGGAGCCACTGAAATGCCTGCGATAAGCAGGGCTGTAAATGCCAGTCAACAGAGCCTCATGTTTACTCTCCTGTGATTTATACAGAATATACGATGGCTATTAGAAGAGAAACACTTCACCGGATCAAGAGCACAGTCAAGACCTACTCATTCAACACATCTGCCCTTCCCCAGAGACCTGGTCCCTATTTCAGTAAAAGCACCACAAATACATAATTAAAATGCAAACATGAAACAAGTCAGTAGCAGCAATTAATTTTATGGTGGGTGCTATAAGAATGTAAATCTCTTTTATGGATGCCTTTTCTTTTTTTTAAAGCTTGCTTTATCTTCTCAGTGAGAACACATGTCTTCTGTAGTACTATACAGAACCAGGTTAGTAGCTCTACCACCTAAAACACAGGAGCCAAAACAATGCAAAATGACCTATTGGCTGGCAATGGGTAGATTTCTGAAATGGCCTTATAAGACTGACCAGGAATTTCTTTTCTATAAAATGGCCTCCCCATTTGGTAAGTTCTTAGAGTTGGTTTGTTTTGGGGCTGAGGTCTATGAACTTCCTTGGCACTCAATGAAGTGATGTGCAAATTTAAGGTGTCATTCAGGTTTGAGTTTTAATCAGTTCTAACAGTGCTAACACACAAGTTGATCACAGGTTGGGGAACCTAAGTATGTCACTACTAAGGAAGCAAAGAACTCCTAAGACATCAGGCATCATAGGGAATCCAGAGCCTTTCCTAGGTGGGGCAACTTCATTCTCAAGGCAATGTGAACCAGCAGAGAGTGTATAGGTTTCAACTGACCTATCTGTGTCAGGGACCAATTAAGTACCATTCTGCTGTGATAGAGAACCTTTTTGAGTTCTCTCTCTCTCTCTCTCTCTCTCTCTCTCTCTCTCTCTTTCTCCCTTCCCACTTCTCCCTCTCCTCTCACCTC